AGAGAGAGAGAGAGAGAGAGAGAGAGAGAGAGAGAGAGAGAGAGAGAGAGATGGAGAGTAAGATCAAAGAGAGGAAAAAAGAGGGAGGTCAGAGATGGACAAAGGCTGAAAGAGCGAGAGAGCTAGAGAGAGAGCGAGAGAGCTAGAGAGAGAGCTAGAGAGAGAGCTAGAGATAGAGAGAGAGAGAGAGAGAGAGAGAGAGAGAGAGAGAGAGAGGGGGGGGAGAGATAGAGGGAGATAGATAAGAGGGTAAAAGTAAACTTCAGCCCATCATTCTGAACTTTCTTGACCAAGCACTAGCATCTGGGGTCTCCGCAATTTGATGTCATATTTTAAAGACGCGTTTAATATTTTACATACAAGGGAGCTAGTATTATAAAATGGAGACATAGATCTACTTGTAAATAATAGTACCTTTCCGATTATCTAGGAAATTGCCATAGTTATTTTTGAAGGGTGCATTCCTGGACTATTGAGCGGGCGATAATTAATTACCCTCAAGGCTTTTCTTTATTTGCAATAACTGTTGTTTGAACGTGTTTCTTTAGGCTCTGCCCACTTTTCTCAGTCCAATGACAGATATAGATTAATATTATAAGCCAAAGTCGTCACTTCTAAAGAAACGTAGTAGCATTGAAAGAGTTTTTTTTTTAACACTACCAATCACTATGGCAAGACCTACTCATTCCCCATCACACGTTACAGTTACAGTCTAACACCAACAGCTGTCTCGTTTCCCGTTCAACTTACTTCACATAACGCAGTGTGCTTATGCAATAGAGGCAAATACGAGCCCTTTGAACACGTGCTCGGGTGGGCTCTTTCTGGCTATTGAAGTAGGCTATGTATTCGCTAGGAATAGTGTCCCAGGGTTCTCATTTTATAAAGTAGTAATTTTCTTCTCTGAAAGGAGAACTGACTACAAACTGGGTGTTATTGCAGTTTCACCACCAACAAACCGCGCGTATCGACAATACGAAGAGAGGGGAAAATGCTAGGACAAGAGTAGTGAAGGGGAATGGGCTGGGGTCGGGGTGGGGTTTGGGAGGGGGGGGGGGGGTTTCGTATAATTTTTGTCCGCCCTTATGTGACACTGGCTCGACATCGAACTCAATTCAGTCTAATAAATTATTATCATGCTGAGTTTAGCTCGATGTTCATTATTATTAAACAAAATTGCGTCACAAGATACGTTTGTCTTAATTACATACTCCACGCTCGTTATAAAACTAGAGCTTGATGAAAAAATTACACGTTCAATTTCTCCCTAAGGTGCGCATAGCAGCTCAGAATGGTAATGATCGATATGATAAATGTGCCAATATAGAATCTAAATTTTGCCTCTATATGGAGTTGACCAAAATGTTTTCAACCGAATCTAATGAGTAATGCAAGAGTTTCGGTAGGATTTGACATATGTATTGACGTATGAAGTTGGTGAAACTGTCTGTGTACATGAATAGTAAGGGATTATTCCTAAATACACACCCTGAGGTTATTCAACAGGCTGGGTTTCCGAATTTAACGTTCGTTTCCAATAGGACCAACGCGAGTGGGTGAAGTGCATTGAATTAAACTTGTTTTTCTTGCAGGATATCCCGTATACTTTGTAGGGGAAGACGGTGAGCTAAAGAACCTATGGCCAAAGAAAAGGTACTGGAAGAGTTATTAAAGGGGATGAAAGGGGGGTGGGGTGTGTCAGAGAGACAACGACATAGAGCGAGATACAATGATAGAGGGGGGGAGAGAGAGCGAGAGAGA